TGAAATGAAACAAATTCAAGATGTATGTATATATATATACTATATAGTGTATATATATATATATATATTATAACATGTAACAATATTGTGTATAATAAATAAGTGTGTTACGTGTACCGGGCTGTCCGTTACGTGTATTATATATTTGTGTTTAGTGTACCAGGTGTCGATGTTTAGTGTATTAGATATTTATGTTTAGTGTATCGGGTGTCGATGTTTAGTGTATTATATAGTTATGTTAAGTGCACCGGGTGTCGATGTTTAGTGTATTATATATTTGTGTTTAGTGTACCGGGTGTCGATGTTTAGTGTTTTATATAGTGATGTTTAGTGTATGAGATAGTTATGTTAAGTGTATTAGATATTTATGCTAAGTGTATTATACAGTTATGTTTAGTGTATTATATAGTTATGTTTAGTGTACCTAGTAACGGTGTTAATTGATCAAGTTATTTATGTTTAAGGTACCGGGTGTCGATGTTTAGTGTAGTAGATGTTTATGTTTAGTGTACCTAGTAAAGGTGTTTAGTGCATTATATATTTATGTTTAGTGTACCTAGTAACGGTGTTTAGTGTATAAGATATTTATGTTTAGTGTATAAGATAGTTATGTTTAGTGTATCAGGTATCAATGTTTAGTGTATTAAATATTTATGTTTAGTGCATTTCAATTATATATTCTTTTTGTTTTATTCCATAACACAGCTTATATATTAATAAAAAAATCAGTACAACTACGGACAGTTTACATTTAAATGCTTAAGTAACAAGGCAATCACAAGATAAAAACAAATCATTTGTTGGTTGAAAGCTATGCGCCTACGACAAGTAGAAGTGCATACATATGGGTGTCGATTAAATAAGGCTATCGTGAAGTGTCACCATATTTATAGAACTAATCTTAAGCTTAGTCTTAAGTATTTATTTATTTATTTTGGTTTTAAATGCACACATATAGTTCGTATTAATTGAATGAAAAAAGTTAACTGAAAAAGTGGTTAAAAGGGTCAATAAATATACCATACATCTATGTTGACGGCGCTGACCTGTGGTGTTACATACATCTGTGTTGACGGCGCTGACCTGTGGTGTTACATAAATCTGTGTTGACGGCGCTGACCTGTGGTGTTACATACATCTGTGTTGACGGCGCTGACCTGTGGTGTTACATACATCTGTGTTGACGGCGCTGACCTGTGGTGTTACATACATCTGTGTTGACGGCGCTGACCTGTGGTGTTACATACATCTGTGTTGACGGCGCTGACCTGTGGTGTTACATACATCTGTGTTGACGGCGCTGACCTGTGGTGTTACATACATCTGTGTTGACGGCGCTGACCTGTGGTGTTACATACATCTGTGTTGACGGCGCTGACCTGTGGTGTTACATACATCTGTGTTGACGGCGCTGACCTGTGGTGTTACATACATCTGTGTTGACGGCGCTGACCTGTGGTGTTACATACATCTGTGTTGACGGCGCTGACCTGTGGTGTTACATACATCTGTGTTGACGGCGCTGACCTGTGGTGTTACATACATCTGTGTTGACGGCGCTGACCTGTGGTGTTACATACATCTGTGTTGACGGCGCTGACCTGTGGTGTTACATACATCTGTGTTGACGGCGCTGACCTGTGGTGTTACATACATCTGTGTTGACGGCGCTGACCTGTGGTGTTACATACATCTGTGTTGACGGCGCTGACCTGTGGTGTTACATACATCTGTGTTGACGGCGCTGACCTGTGGTGTTACATACATCTGTGTTGACGGCGCTGACCTGTGGTGTTACATACATCTGTGTTGACGGCGCTGACCTGTGGTGTTACATACATCTGTGTTGACGGCGCTGACCTGTGGTGTTACATACATCTGTGTTGACGGCGCTGACCTGTGGTGTTACATACATCTGTGTTGACGGCGCTGACCTGTGGTGTTACATACATCTGTGTTGACGGCGCTGACCTGTGGTGTTACATACATCTGTGTTGACGGCGCTGACCTGTGGTGTTACATACATCTGTGTTGACGGCGCTGACCTGTGGTGTTACATACATCTGTGTTGACGGCGCTGACCTGTGGTGTTACATACATCTGTGTTGACGGCGCTGACCTGTGGTGTTACATACATCTGTGTTGACGGCGCTGACCTGTGGTGTTACATACATCTGTGTTGACGGCGCTGACCTGTGGTGTTACATACATCTGTGTTGACGGCGCTGACCTGTGGTGTTACATACATCTGTGTTGACGGCGCTGACCTGTGGTGTTACATACATCTGTGTTGACGGCGCTGACCTGTGGTGTTACATACATCTGTGTTGACGGCGCTGACCTGTGGTGTTACATACATCTGTGTTGACGGCGCTGACCTGTGGTGTTACATACATCTGTGTTGACGGCGCTGACCTGTGGTGTTACATACATCTGTGTTGACGGCGCTGACCTGTGGTGTTACATACATCTGTGTTGACGGCGCTGACCTGTGGTGTTACATACATCTGTGTTGACGGCGCTGACCTGTGGTGTTACATACATCTGTGTTGACGGCGCTGACCTGTGGTGTTACATACATCTGTGTTGACGGCGCTGACCTGTGGTGTTACATACATCTGTGTTGACGGCGCTGACCTGTGGTGTTACATACATCTGTGTTGACGGCGCTGACCTGTGGTGTTACATACATCTGTGTTGACGGCGCTGACCTGTGGTGTTACATACATCTGTGTTGACGGCGCTGACCTGTGGTGTTACATACATCTGTGTTGACGGCGCTGACCTGTGGTGTTACATACATCTGTGTTGACGGCGCTGACCTGTGGTGTTACATACATCTGTGTTGACGGCGCTGACCTGTGGTGTTACATACATCTGTGTTGACGGCGCTGACCTGTGGTGTTACATACATCTGTGTTGACGGCGCTGACCTGTGGTGTTACATACATCTGTGTTGACGGCGCTGACCTGTGGTGTTACATACATCTGTGTTGACGGCGCTGACCTGTGGTGTTACATACATCTGTGTTGACGGCGCTGACCTGTGGTGTTACATACATCTGTGTTGACGGCGCTGACCTGTGGTGTTACATACATCTGTGTTGACGGCGCTGACCTGTGGTGTTACATACATCTGTGTTGACGGCGCTGACCTGTGGTGTTACATACATCTGTGTTGACGGCGCTGACCTGTGGTGTTACATACATCTGTGTTGACGGCGCTGACCTGTGGTGTTACATACATCTGTGTTGACGGCGCTGACCTGTGGTGTTACATACATCTGTGTTGACGGCGCTGACCTGTGGTGTTACATACATCTGTGTTGACGGCGCTGACCTGTGGTGTTACATACATCTGTGTTGACGGCGCTGACCTGTGGTGTTACATACATCTGTGTTGACGGCGCTGACCTGTGGTGTTACATACATCTGTGTTGACGGCGCTGACCTGTGGTGTTACATACATCTGTGTTGACGGCGCTGACCTGTGGTGTTACATACATCTGTGTTGACGGCGCTGACCTGTGGTGTTACATACATCTGTGTTGACGGCGCTGACCTGTGGTGTTACATACATCTGTGTTGACGGCGCTGACCTGTGGTGTTACATACATCTGTGTTGACGGCGCTGACCTGTGGTGTTACATACATCTGTGTTGACGGCGCTGACCTGTGGTGTTACATACATCTGTGTTGACGGCGCTGACCTGTGGTGTTACATACATCTGTGTTGACGGCGCTGACCTGTGGTGTTACATACATCTGTGTTGACGGCGCTGACCTGTGGTGTTACATACATCTGTGTTGACGGCGCTGACCTGTGGTGTTACATACATCTGTGTTGACGGCGCTGACCTGTGGTGTTACATACATCTGTGTTGACGGCGCTGACCTGTGGTGTTACATACATCTGTGTTGACGGCGCTGACCTGTGGTGTTACATACATCTGTGTTGACGGCGCTGACCTGTGGTGTTACATACATCTGTGTTGACGGCGCTGACCTGTGGTGTTACATACATCTGTGTTGACGGCGCTGACCTGTGGTGTTACATACATCTGTGTTGACGGCGCTGACCTGTGGTGTTACATACATCTGTGTTGACGGCGCTGACCTGTGGTGTTACATACATCTGTGTTGACGGCGCTGACCTGTGGTGTTACATACATCTGTGTTGACGGCGCTGACCTGTGGTGTTACATACATCTGTGTTGACGGCGCTGACCTGTGGTGTTACATACATCTGTGTTGACGGCGCTGACCTGTGGTGTTACATACATCTGTGTTGACGGCGCTGACCTGTGGTGTTACATACATCTGTGTTGACGGCGCTGACCTGTGGTGTTACATACATCTGTGTTGACGGCGCTGACCTGTGGTGTTACATACATCTGTGTTGACGGCGCTGACCTGTGGTGTTACATACATCTGTGTTGACGGCGCTGACCTGTGGTGTTACATACATCATTGTTGACGGCGCTGACCTGTGGTGTTACATACATCTATGTTGACGGCGCTGACCTGTGGTGTTACATACATAAGTGTTGACGGCGCTGACCTGTGGTGTTACATACATAAGTGTTGACGGCGCTGACCTGTGGTGTTACATACATCAGTGTTGACGGCGCTGACCTGTGGTGTTGCCAAAGTGAACACCCCTTATGACTTTCTAACATGTTGTTCCATTTCAGATGGCACGGTTAAACAGAATCGTAATTTCAACATGTAAATAAATATAACATTAACCATAGGATTCGACAACTTCAACAATTCCAATCGAAAGTCATACGTGACTTCCTCATATTTGTTTATCATTGGTCACGTTCCTATTACTACTCACTTTCGATTCAAAGTCGTATGACCCAAACTCTATTTCCTTGATTGTTAAGTGACTTTGAAAGGGAAAATATAGAGTGAAACAAGGAAACACCTGATTATATATAACTACTCTAGTGCTAAACTCTGTAAGGGTATATTACAACCAGATAACACAGACGGGTCATAAGAGAGTCGGCGAATACAGAGATAGGATGTTAAACTTCTGTCATACAGGGAATTTAACTTACATTCTGATACCGATATACAACGCTTAATTTACATTGATATATTTACATATATGAACTTATGTGCAGAATGTGAAACTCATTACTGATCTAATATTGTGCTATATTTTAGATTGAGATGGGTTAATACTTTCGAGAAAGGCTGTGATGAACTAACACATCGTACACATATCATCATGACAGCATCAACAGTGATGGGAGCAGTTCACTTCATTCTCTGGATTCGTCAAGGTGTATTACAAATTCTTCTGACATCCCACATCAAACCAAGGGGAACCTTTAGTTGATAACACTTCTGGTAAGATTTAAACATACAGTCGAACCTCGTTATCTCGAAGTCGACGGATTCGTGGGGAAACTTCGAGTTATCCGAGGAATCGAGTTATACGGGTTCATGATCGAGTTAAAAGAGTTCGAGATGACGCGGTTCAACTATATGTTAGTGTTTTCTTATGTATTATGTTGGTTGGTTGGGTTTACAATTCAACTGGGCGCCTTGATAATTTTTAGAGTGGAATATTGTTTGTAATTTAATGATATTTGAATTGTAACTTTTAGTGGTGTATTGTACGGGATAATATATTTACACGACAGATAATACTATAATCACATAAAGATTTAACGTTAGTTTTGTTATCTACGATTTGCAATATTGACCTTTAACCAACCTCGGTCTGTTATATCAGGTCCACGTCGCGTATACGTGATACAAATGACCACGAGTGTGTCCCGTGACTATTCTTTGATAAACTAACACAGTCATATTACGTAATCATTGGACGTAAAAGATAAAGAAAAGAGAAAGGCAGAAAGGCGAAAAGCTTTAATAACGGTTCAATTACAGCATGTAACTACAACGGCTAAAACAAAATTTAAACAAGAAGTCAATATTAACTGTGTAAGAATCATTCCAATAACAAGGTGCTCTTTACTTGACTTTCAAGTTACTTTCAGAATAATCAACGATTTCTTTTCTTTCCACTTTCTACATTGCAAATCACGTGCACAAGACTTATACAAATAACAACAAGGTCGACATTGACACCTTACTTTTCATCTGTGTGCGTGAATATTTTGAAACTTCTCTTTCCTGACAGTAGCATACCTGCCACACGACATACTTTGTTTCCATGCCGAAGACTATTAGGAATTTACAGGTTACTCGAAATATAACGATATCCGTTTTTCGGAGTAAGATGCAGGTTGATAAAGACTGTAGGCAACGTTTGTTATAGCTGTCGGGATTGTATTGCGAAATGTTCCGTTTCCTTGTGCAGTATGAATATCAACATCTTTTTATAATGCTGTTAAAAATGCCATTCACTTTTGTTTCACCGCCCCAGTTCCTACATTACGGACGTGACATTTCTAACAATTGATCAAGATTAACATGGTAATGTAAATGAAAAACAGAAAACGCTTCCTTTGTCGGAAGGCCTGGTCCAATTCCTGCTGTACTTTTTTAAAACTATTTCCGTGTAAATATTTTTCATTGTTCATATATTGTCTTAGTTGTGTCGATTATTACAATTTTGTTCAGAGTTCGATATTCCTTCTTTCTTTTTTAACAAATTGTAGACTTTATATTCGGTAAAAAAAAAACTTTTTATTCAAACAGTGAGCATGGTGACCATTTTGATTTTAAAAACAAATCTTGACAAACAGGAAATGATTTTGACTATCAGTGTAATGCCTTTATTTACTTATGTTGTCAAGGTCCTGAACAGTTGAAAATTAATTTCCTTTTTTTGATACAATATTGCGACACTGTCCACCAGGGCGATTCCGTGTTAGATGATATTCAAATTAAACCGAAATCATTTTTCTTTTTAAAAAAAGTAATCAATTAATGAATAATTACCTCTACTTTTGACGACGAACCTATTACCAATAAGGAAACCACATCATTCTCATAATCGATTCCTTTACTCGGGAACTCTCCGAGAAAAAATACGTTAAGGGCACTTTTTTTAACTCAAAAATGAGATAGTCTTAAAAAGATTTAACCCTCTTTCATCATTTACGTCCCGATTTTCGGGGTCAATGGGGTCAATTAAATCTCTGCTATACAATGTGGTACAGAATAATAATTGTTTGTATTTAAATATTTTGGTTTGCAAGGTTATGTTTTTGATGGAAAATACCAACGTACTATTTCAAAGCACAACATGATGTTTGATTTGTACTTAACTTCTTTACTTACTACAATTTATACAATAAGATAATGTTATTTCCATGTGATATTTACAGGTTCTGTGACATATCACCGAGATGTCGGATCAGGGTGAGCAGTACGATAAATCTTGGGTTCTTTATCACATCCTAGACGGGTTCATAGGGAGCCGGGAGACAGTGGCTGTCAGAAGGAAACTGATAGTTGCGATCGATCAACTAGAAAATTCTATGATGACCGAAATATTTACCACTGGTAGTAGAGCAGAAGGAATGCACTTTGAAGGGTCCGATGCAGACTTGATGTGTACTGTCAAACATGTGATAGTTATGTGTCCCCATAAGGACGTTAGTTATCAAATCGACAGCGAAACTAATACAGTTCTGATGATGAGAGATACTAACTGCCGACCTGGTTATGCAAACCTGGAACTTGTTCAACTGGGGAAGGGATATGATTCACTATTGGAGCCAGCCATTGTTCAAAAAAGGGGCGTGTATTTCATATCAAGTGAAATATTCAGACGGACATTTACTGATCTGTTCAGTGAGGAACTGCAGACAAACATGGAAATGCATGGCCCAGCAGCGACTTTACAAGACGAACATTCTGTTGATTTAGATAGAGTCGTTTCCTTTCAGTTTTACTATTGGCCAAGTGAAGCAAACGAGTGGTTGAGTAGGCCACGCCTGAGTGGATGGCCAGATAAAACTTTGAGAGATCAGATAGTACAAGGTGGTTGCCATCTAGTCCCCGTTGGGGATAAAACGTCTGCTGACCAGTTCGTACAGTGGAGGATTTCATTTACGACTGCGGAAAGGAAACTTATTCATTCTTTAACTCATGTCCAGTTTGTCGTGTATGGACTTCTCAAGTACTTCTTAAAACAAATATCTGGCATGGTGAAACAAATTTTAGGTGAACAAGATATTATTTCATCATATATTATAAAAACAGTTATATTTCATGCAGTAGAAAGCACGCCTGGATCATTTTGGCAAGAAAAACAAACATTTCTCTGTTTCATGCTCTGCTTGAAGATTTTAGTCAATTGGGTGAAAGTAGGACATTGTCCGAACTACTTCATTAAGAACAACAATATGTTCCTTGGCAAAGTTTATGGTGAAAATCAACGGAAACTTCTTCGTGTTCTCACTGACCTCTATGACATGAAATGGGGATGTCTTTCAGTTGGAACATACATACAACCAACCATAGGAGAGCTCATGCAAAGTGTTAGGAAAGGGACAAAGGGATATGTACTACCTCCACAAAAAATATCAGAATATGAATGTGATGTGAATATATTCTGTAAGCTATTTTCATTCAGAGAAAATGAAGATTCACTTCCTGTGTCGTTGAAACTCCTTTCTGCATCAAGATCGGATATCGATGAATTTATAGGCTACTTCGCAACAGTTCAGGCACTATCGTATACAGGGATGAAGACATTCGGTGAGCACGTCACTGCTAGAGGAAATAAAGAGAAGTACAAATCTCTCCGGAAATCCAAGAACCTACTGAGACCGTTTGCAACAGTCTGTACAAGTCCAGGACTTTTAAGTTTTGCAACATACTACTACCAGACTGGGAATTACATGAAATCACTGGAAATATGTGATAAAATGATCTCTTCATCCACAATTTATCTTGATAATATCTCAAGCTGTAACTATTCGGACAGGTATGAACAGCTCTTTTCTGGACGTGGGTACAACTTACTACACAGATGCCAGGCATTTGTATCGGATATCACGTTCGTACGAGAAGCTACACAATTCTGTCCACCCGAGTTACACCCGGAAATCACAAAACGTTTTATCGGGAATGCACTTAAAATCCCTCCACTGCCCTACGCCGTGTTCCTGTCTTTTCTGTGTTACCATGAACTTGGAGATATCAGGAAGCGTGATACAGCATTGATTCACCTTCGGGCCGTGAAATATGATAAGGATCAGGGCGGGGGTGAATATTGGATAGTACACAATCTCCTGGGGATCTGCTATGAAACTGTTCGAGACACACGAAGGGCTCTCAGAGAATACAGAGACTCCCTTGGCGTTGATGGTGTTGGAGGATGTACTCAATATAAAAACCCTGCCAAGGAGAGAATAACACATTTACAACATTAAAGACAATCAGACGACAGTCAATGTATATTGTAAAATCATAAATTTTCATGGGACATTAAATTTCGTTAATTTCGTGGATAACAAAAATCCCAATGAAAACATAAATTTCGTATGATATAGATAGGGGAAAATCAGAAATCAGCGAAATATAATGTCGTTGAAACATGCTAGTATATGAAACTACGAAATTTTAACCCCACGAAAATAAATGGTTCTACAGTAACTTGTATATCTGGCCAGTACGGTATACATCATAACATTTCAAACTTAACAATTATTCATGAGATGTTGAAAAGTTAAACTGTATCAATAGCCTCGTATAGACAAGCTTGATGCCGATATATTTTTCCTAACGAAATTCATTATTCCTGAACTTTTGTTTCATACTTTCAAGTTTTTCATATCCCACTGCGTAGTTATATATAATTGTAATAAATAAAGATAAATAGTGTTGCTCTAGTAAGGTGTTTGTTAAATATGGAAGTGACATATCTATAGCGATGTATATATGACTGTACTTTATAAGGAAAATAACAGTGACTTTGACCGTACAGATAACACAACTTATTGTTGTTGCTATGCTTCTCTACTCCAGTGAGGTGAACGTTGAGTATGGAAGGGATATGTAGGTTAATAATTAATAATGCAAACGAAGTATCTAATTGTCACTTATCGTCTGTAACATAACATTATGTTTTGATGATATGAGTCCTGATCCTTTATTAAGGGGATACTGGTTTACTTGATAACTCATACATGTGTGTGGTAGTGTGTTGAATTCAATCAATGGTTGATTAAAATCAAGATTGCCCCCAGATAGCTATCTATGATTTTGACGATTCGGAATTGTTACCGTTATCTGTAAAAATAGTATCGGAAGATTTTTTTCTTAGATTTCATATGTAAATTCCTCTTGGCCCTTAATTTTCATATTTCAGATTGAGACCTGACAGTGTCCAAGGAACCACCATGAATTTTGATGTTTTTAGTTTGTCATTGCTCAAATCTTAACAGACAAATTTCACATTTTATTTTTATGTTTCCTTTGATGCTTCATTAATCATGTTTCATAAAAATGAATTGTATAATGAGTATACATGTATAAATGTACAATGAGCATACATGTAAATGAGTATACATGTACAATGAGCGTACATATACAATGAGCATTGTACAATGAGTATACATGTATAGATGCACAATGAGTATACATGTACAATGAGTATACATGTCTAATAAGCTTACATGTATATTGAATATACATGTTCAATTAGCATCCACAATTGTTTAAGTCTTCCGTGTAGGGTCTTTAGTAATAAATTTATTTTAGTATTAGACTCTCATGTCTAGTTTTATAACACATCTTTTGAAGTAATGTGACGTCATCACTTTGTGTATATCGTATTATTAATACGTCATTAATTGGTGATTTATATATGTAATAATGTATACTTCTTGTGGTGTCATAATAAAGATTAATAACATTATGTACGAGTTACATAAACTTTGCAATAATTTCAGCACACGTGCACACTCAACATGCCTGTGCGCGCGTGCACCATCTCAAACACATTAACGAACATTCCGTGTGACTTAAATAGTTGGAGAAAGTTATTTGCCCATTGATAAAAGAGACTATCACTCCATTTAATGGTGGTACTTTTTTCTTAATGAACATGATACGGTATGGGGTCACCTAACCGACTAGGTAGGTTTTCTCCGGATGCTCCAATTTTGTTCTCACGAGAAGTCTCCCTGTGAGTTTTCAAATGAGCCAACAAGAGTGATTCACATAAGCTCATATAAAAGTTTTCTTGTACAATGTTTGTTTTTCGAAACAGACAAAACAACACGACTAAGCTCCAGGTAACATTGCACCAACTTATATAGAGAGCAGGGTGGGAAATCGGTCGGATAAAAAAAAAACGTACACAAGTGCCCATATCGTGATAATTTTTTTTATAATTTGTGGTATGTGTAATTCATAAATCTAGAGATGGTGTTGGATAAGCACTAAGCACTAACTATCACAGGCAATGGCCTGGTAAAGGTGTTTTCAGTAGCTTCTCTAAAACTAACTATCACAGGCAATGACCTGGTAAAGGTGTTTTCAGTAGCTTCTCTAAAACCAAAATGGTGATTCATCCTACTTAAAATCTGATACACAATAAATATACCCATGTTGAGCCCTAGGCATTTGTTGTATACTGATATGAATGGGAAATGGGATGTCCTATGAACAGGGTCCGACGTTTCACCTGGTTAATGCATTCATTCCTACACTTTCGATGGTCCACTGCTTATCTATGTATCTAAACTTTAACCACAGTAGTATTGTTCGAGAGGTTCCGAGTGAGGTGCTAAGTACTATATACCGAGAAACGTGAAGTGTACCGATTACGTTTGAACTGATTGACACATCACTACGATAATTTCGGAAATATAATGAAATAAAAGATAACATGAACAATCGAGGTTAGTGGGATCAGTGATGGTACCATTCAATTTTCAAGTATGTGGTCACTCCAATGTGCACAGGCTAACAAATACTTCCCGCTCGTACTTGCCGGTGTATATTACAAACACTTACTTAACGATCTTAACTGTCACGAGCTTGTAAACACTCAATGCCATATAAGTACCATGCAAAGTACCATGCAGAGGACATGTACCAATTACTTACCAACAACATAAAACAGGGAAAAACGATTTCTTTACTTACTTGTATAGGACTTAGAAATAGGAGACCCCAGCTATAAAAGACAGTGCATTTTTCATCTCTTGATGCATTTCTATCCAATTCAAAAAAAATCTTAAGTTAAACAGGGATCATTTCTTGACAACGATACACATTTATTTCAAAAGAGACACAGAGTTTACATAATTTAGAATTGTATTTGAGTCACTGGCAGACTTTCGCATCATCAAACTATGTTCTATTGTGACTTTGAATATAATATCGATAACAACCTATGATTCCGCTCCGAAAACAGAATCACAACCTTATCTTTTTATCATCATCTTTCTTTGAATTTTAATATAAAAAACTGCATCTCCAAAAGAATTATCCTCGAGTTTTCAAAATGACAGGCGAGAACCCGGGGTCATGCTCGGATATTAAACGATCCGATATAATGGGTTCATAATAGCACATCTAATATTTGGTAACTAGCCCCTTGGACAAGATGACTGTCGGTATACGACGGGGATTGAATTATACAGAGAAATCACGTATTCCGAATTTAACGAAGTCATGAATGGCCATAAACTTCTTCTGAGATGTGTGGATATTAAACAGCCTGTTTGGAAGTTCATGTTTGACCTGAGCCACTGTGTTTTCAACATATTAAGGTCAGAGAAATGTGCAGACTAAAATATGTGATTTTCCTGTTCGTAACTGTTAATCATGTGAACATAATGCACAGAAGTATTGCCATCCATAAAACGTTAGGTTTGATGGGTAAAATACAAAAATATAACGGGATATAATGAATTGTGAAAGAATTATTATACTGACACGTCACTGGCACCGACGACACATTCATCACCAAAGGTAAGTTTCTTAAAATGTTCTTCCTAATGCATGTCTATGCTTAATTTATCTCGTTCGGCTGCGCTAATTACGATCAAATTGAGATTTATTTCGTTTATATGAGGAACCCCATAATGCTTTATGACGCAGTCTCTTGCGGCAAGGGTGAGGTTGCCTTATTTATAAGCCAATGAGTCGGTTTATATGAAAAGCAAATTTGAGTTTAAAAGCTAAAACAAATTGTGTTGAAAAGGCGAGTTGGATACGGAGACGTTTAAGGTATCAAATGTCACATATTTATTGGACATTCGACTCGATAGATGAGTAAGTGGCAACATGCACAATAATTCACAATATTTCAATAAACTTCTCAACAATGTTGTCAACTGTACCATCAGGCGTGGTTATACTGCTATCTATTCATTTTGTCCTGATGGCGTTTTAACAGTCTGGCAATAAGTCGGGGAAGTCACATGACGAAATTGTCAGGAAAAAAATGTGAACTTGAAATATGATAATGGATACGGTTGTTAATTGTTCTCTAAGACGTCGTTATACTGCCATTTGTTTACTTTTGGCGCTATAACGACTCTGGCGATTTATTTGGGGAGACCTACGACGAAAATGTTCATTCGAACGGCACGTGGACCAACATAAGGCCCAGTGATTTTATACTGAACGCTCCCATGTAATTGAGCACTGTCATTTGAATCAGAATGACGACGCGATAAAGTGTTGCTCTCAGGACGCGGATTGAGAAATTCACATTTTCATATCCTGCATCGTCACACGTCGGCGGGAATCTGCAACATTTTCTCTAGACAATTGGTAAACGATATGGGTATAAAGTAGAATGTTATGGGTAGAGAACAAACGGTATCAGAACAAGGAGCACTAACTAACTGATATTAGAGACGTACATTGTAACTAAGGTACAATAGTATACATACTACTATAGGGAGTGTAGGCCTGCTACTATCCAATACATAATACATTAACGCAAACATAGATCCACCTCATGAACATACACTTATAATCTTCCATTATACGCTAGGAACACCCGTTTTCTTGATCGTTTTATCTGTATAATGAGAAACGGAAGCAAGTGTTTATAGACATATAAGTATGTATCAGCTCTATATGTGTATAAAGCAACCTGACATCAACAGGCAGGTCATAATAGAGTCAGCGCGTACAGAGACAGGATGTAAAACATATATTTTACAGAAACATTATCTGCATATATTTGTATACAAAGGTTTGTATGTAGAATATGAAACGTTAAAAGGTTTATAGCTGATTTAATGCGGTGTGGAATTCTAATTTGAGATGACTCTTTATTAATGGAAAACGCTGTGATGAACATATAGTACAAATATCACCCCGACAGCATCGACAGTGATGAGAACAGTTCACTTCTTCATTCTCTGGATTCTTCCAGGTGTATAACAAATTCGTCTGACATTCCACATCAAACCAAGGTGATTCATTAGATGAGAAAACTTCTGGTAAGATTTAAACGTATATTTATTATATGTCATATATTCAGTGGGTCGGAGTGGGTTGTTACGACACGATTGTCCACCCCTGTACGATTTAGTTACTGGTTGAAAACCCGTGCTTTAAGACTTGGGGCGTTACTGGTCTTTTTTAGCTAAAATAAAACTGAATTCATTTACCAACTTCTTTTATGATCATCATATTGGTTCATTGTTGCTTTCTTTGTTGGTTAAGATTATTTCCAATGCGTATGCACAGATGCCCTACCATAGCAACAACATTGCGTTGCTATACAGAAATAGCCAACATTTCGTGTTTGGACAGCCAGCACGTAGAAATGAAAGTTTCCGCATGTGACGAATACAAATTACTTTCAACGAATGAACAGTGCTATTTATGCCAAATACATATTTGTTGCATGCGGAGCTTTCAAACGTTGATGTTTGTTAAGTTAATTTTCTTCAAAAGGACCAATCGTCAACCAAGTAGTACAAAACAGACGATATTTACACATTTTATTACGCAAATGCTGGTTTTTATGTAATGCTATATCTCCTAAACAAGTTGTAGAATGAATTTGAATTTTCATATTTTCGAACCCCATTTATTTCAAAATATAAAAACTAATTCTAAATGATGAGGCCAGAAATAACCTTTCACGCCCCTAGTTCTATGCCGATTTCGCAACAAGAATTATCATCCAGGGGGGAAATTCAGTTTTATCTAGACATATTATTGGTTGTCTCGTGCGAACACCGATTTTGAATCAGGACGATTGTGGTAACTTTAGGCTTATTTGTTCATTTCCTGCATGGCTAATAAGACAGAAACCTGTATGGCCTCGTTTTCATCAATGCGTGTACACTAGTGCACTATACTGCTACAGTGGTTTACGACATGCTATATACAAAGACTTAAACTAGACATCAAATTATGAAGGAAAAACCTCAAGTGAATAGATTTCAAAAGAATAAACTTAATTGGCCGTTGCGTTGAAAACAAAATTAAAACAAAGTACGGTTGGCTAGCTCGGCTCTTTCGTTCTATAAGTAGTGGTTCAATACCCCGGTCGAACATGTTACGGTATGGGGTCACCCTACCAGCAAGCTAGTTTTTCTCCAGATACTAAATTTTTACTCTCGCCAAAAGACTCCCTGTGAGTTTTCAAATGAGCCAACAAGAGTGATTCACATAAGCTCATAAATGTTTTCTTGTACAATGTATTTTTTTCGAAACAGACAAAACAACACGTAATTAGATCCAGGTAACATTACACCAACTTAGATTTCTAACCCTGCTCTCTATCTAAGTTGGTGTAATGTTACCTGGAGCAGGGTGGGAAATCGGTCGGATGAAAAAACGTATCACAAGTGCCCTTATCGTGATAAATCGTGTAGGGTTGGGAAATCGTGTATTAAGTAGGATGTTTTTTATAATTTGTGGTATGTGTAACTCATAAATCTAGAGATGGTGTTGGATAAGCACTAAGCACTAACGATCAAAGACAATGGCCTGGTAAAGGTGTTTTCAGTAGCTTCTCTAAAACTAACTATCACAGGCAATGGCCTGGTAAAGGCGTTTTCAGTAGCTTCTCTAAAACTATCACAGGTAATGGCCTGGTAAAGGTGAGTAGCTTCTCTAAAACTAACGATCACAGGCAATGGCTTGGTAAAGGTGAGTAGCTTCTCTAAAACTAACGAACACAGGCAATGGCCTGGTAAAGGTGAGTAGCTTCTCTAAAACTAACGGACACAGGCAATGGCCTGGTAAAGGTGTTTTCAGTAGCTTCTCTAAAACTAACGATCACAGGCAATGGCCTGGTAAAGGTGTTTTTAGTAGCTTCTCTAAAACTAACAATCACAGGCAATGGCCTGGTAAAGGTGAGTAGCTTCTCTAAAACTAACGATCACAGGCAATGACCTGGTAAAGGTATTTTTAGTAGCTTCTCTAAAACCAAAAAGGTGATTCATCCTACTTAAAATCTGATACACAATAAATATACCCATGTTGAGCCCTAGGCATTTGTTGTATACTGATATGAATGGAAAATGGGATGTTCTATGAACAGGGTCCGACGTTTTACCTGGTTAATGCATTCATTCCTACACTTTCGATGGTCCACTGCTTATCTATGTATCTAAACTTTAACCACAGTAGTATTGTTAGAGAGGTTCCGAGTGAGGTGCTAAGTATTATATACCGAGAAAACGTGAGGTGTACCGATTAAGTTTGAACTGATTGACACATCACTACGCTGATTTCGGAAATATACTGAAATGATAGATAACATGAACAATCGAGGTTAAGTGGGATCAGTGATGGTACCATTCAATTTTCAAGTATGTGGTTACTAGAATGTGTACAAGCTAATAAATACTTCCCGCTCGTACTTGTCGGTGTATATCACCAACACTTATTTAACAATATAACTGTCACGAGCTTGTAAACACTCAATGCCATATAAGTACTATTCATCCCCCGCCCACGTGAAAACATTATTTTTTTTCATCAATAATAAATGACTCGTTTAATACGAAAATACCCTTAACCCAATATCAAACATATATCATGGCTGTATCCTTGGTGACCTCCATCCTACAGACAAAAATATAGTATATATATATATATATAAATAATCATCATCCTTATATCATGTCATTGTATAATATCCTCATAAATCAATCAAGGATATAAACCATACATACAGTAAACACAATAATTCACTGGCACGCGCAAAACATGCATACCACCTTCAATTATAAGAATTGCTAATGTTCCTGTTAATCTGTCAATCATACTTGGTTCCTGGTCGCATAGTTTTTCTCAAAGTCCATAAGATAGAACCGATATTGTTCGCAGCAACTAAATCCCGTGCGAAGGTTCACAGTTATTATTTCAGAAATTAAGATGTATTAAAAAAAATTATCCCTGAATTGTCCCGATCTGTAAGCTTTGCGAAAATTCTCTTTTTTATTCAATTTTTTGTGGTAACATTATGTCACAGTATTTGTCAACATAATATTCATATTACATAAACGTTATCGCTTATTTTACTTCAGTTTCTTATTATACGGCATTATTGATGGTCAAAAAAGTATATAAATTGTAGAAAATCAAGTTCTTGTGAAGGAAACTATAGAATAAAATAAAAATTATCCAAGATCGACCACCATATATATATTGAGTAAACATGTAAATAAGTATACTTGTCTGATTACTATTAAAAAATTGCACATGATATACTGACTACTTAATTTCTAACAAAAAAATCATGAAAAAGACACCAACACATTTAGTACTCAATCATTCAGTAATTGATCCACACAATTCCACTTACTTATAATCCTGTTTTCATTTACAGCAGTATAATTGTAAAGTCTGAAAAGCTCTATTGATGTATATATACGTATATAAGTCTTAAATTCATTAAACGTAGGAATAATTGCCTTTATTTTACACCTGTATATAAAATATTTTATTACTATGAGTAAAGAATTGTTTTCCTATTCATTTTGTTTCCAAGGTATTGCCGAATAACTCACTTTCTGGCTCTTTGAATGGGTCTATATTCCTAGGTTTTTTTCATAGGTTGTAAGATTGATGACCAAAATAACTGCAAAGAGTCTCTTCCCTCTAAATAGATTTAATTGTATATTATTCCATGATCTTGGTATGACATTTAATAACATATTGAGTAATGAAGTATTCTGCATGATTCAATTTTATCCCATTTATATCCGGGTTAAATTGCATTGCAGAACTTAATAATTCAACATACAATATGAAAATAAATGCACTAACTGGGTCACCTTGCCTTACACCCCACTTGACGTAAGAAAAGCTCTTAGCATTGTCCATTATACACATAGTGTATTACTCTGATAGAAAGCATTTATCTATTTCAACATTGATGGGACAAAACTATAAAAATCAAAAGCTTCCAATATAAATTTAATTTTAGAGAGTCCTCGAAAGGTATTTCAAAATCTATTAGTAAAATCAACCCTGGTATATTTTTGTCTGTAGTATCCTCCCCCATCTATCTACCCCTTAAAGGGACATCACGTGAAGAGACACATTTTTTTTTAATGAATGTATGTATTGTATGCACTTCCACTTATGTTACCTCGCTATCCCAATATTCATAGTCCGTTCCAAATGTCCAGTTTTACCACTTGAATTGTTCGGGAAAGCCCTTCTGAAAATAGCACCGATAACGTCACTTGACTAGGCAGTACACACACAAGTGGTCTGAGCGAGATGAAACGGTTTCCAAAGGGGCCCCCAGAGAGGGGCCTTCAGCCAACTGCAACTTCTTACCGCACTATGAAACCAAGTTATATGATTTCTAAGTCCGTATTCAAACTTATTGAACAGTAATTAGTCATCATCATAAGTTAATTGCACACTTGCCAATATTCAGAATTTAAATTTATTTAGCTTTAAACATATTTGTTGCCAATAAAATTGAACAAGGGACGGGGCACAAATTTTTACAATTTATCACAGCCTTCTCCCGTCATACATTTACAATTAAATGTCAACAATGATAATAGGCATAGACATAAAGTAGATATATATTATAAATATATATTGAATTTAGCACCGGAATGTGACCTATACAGATGGTATGGGGCGAAACACCTTCCCTCAACCATGGGACAAACCTTTCTGTAAAAAGGAATATTCACGAGACGAATATTCCTTTTCAAATGTTTTCATAAAGTGCAAATATGCAATGACAAACTACACGCGTATAAAAAAAGAGAAACGTTTGTGAGTTTTTGTATTACATTGTACAACTCAATGTCTTTGGCCAAATACTTTTTTCTATACCATGCATATAAATGTATGTATACTCTCTTTCCCACTTTCACTATCTCCATACGCTAACACTTAGTAAGTCATATTATCCATCACACACAATAAACTATAGAATATGTGTCAGATATGGAACGTGTTAAGTACTTGATAATTATACTTTTTCAAAACTTTAGATAGATTAAAG